GGGTGAGAGGATTCACCAGAGCCAGAGCGGGGAACAGAAGAGGCAGATTGACGATATACACTGCTGAGGGGAGCAGCGGGCACAGCAGGAGAGGTCTGTGCTCCATGTGGGACCCTCACAGCGGCCTGTGATCGAACTGGCGCTGCCAAGGCTGCTGGCAGCTGGGCAGCTGGGCAGCTGGGCAGCTTCGCAGCCCAGCACTCAACCACTGCGCCACCTGGGGAGGCCCCCAAAAGTCATTTTTAAATGACTTTAAAGTCAAGTTGCTCAAGAATCCATATATTGGTTGGATCTACAGTTATATCTTCTTTTAACCTAATGAGTCACATAATATAATTTGTTTTAATCGTGGTCTAACTACCTTAATGCTAAAATGTAACTTTTCCCAGTCTAGAGCTGAAGTTCAAGTTGAAGAAACTTAGTGCAATTCTAAGTTTACAAGATGTTTGCTATGCTTAGTTTCCCCTCCTTGCTGTTTTTGTTGTTTTTCCCTCCCCTTACCCTCTCCCCCCAACACATTGACATTTTCTATTATTTAGATTCAGTTTTAGGCAATTTTTTTATCAAGTTACTTTCTCTTCCTAGTGGTTTATTTTGTTTCCTAGATTTTTGAGAGTGAGAATGTACCAGCACTCTCCTTAAAATGAGGATTTATTACACCATTAAAACATCTCCTTCCAACTCCACTTACAGTCTCTCTGTTACTGTATCTGAGCCAGTCAGAAGAATCCCTTAACAGAGATACTTCACAGTAATGTGCCAAGTTCACAAATCCTGTCTTGCATAGCATGTATTTTTTTATTACAACTGAAAACAGGCAATTTTGTCCTGCCTCTGTTTTAATGCCAAACATCTGAAAGTTAGATGTAATTTTGTGCTGAAACATCACACAATCCCCAGAATACAGAACTGCCCCGTCCCCATACTGAGATAGATTTTTAGGGGGCAGAGGGGAATTGGGCTCCATAATAAAATATATGGTTTGGGTGGCAGGAAAGGTAGGAAAGAGAAGAAGCACCTAAAGGTTGCCTTTAATTTAGGCATCTTAGACCTAAAATTAAGGAAGAGGACACAGGAAGAACTTTTTAAAATTCTTCTGAAGTTTCCCAGAACACCTCTGAAGTTTGTAAAACACCATGCAACACGAGGCTTTAAGAGTCCTTCTCCCTGAGAAAATAGTTACACTCCATTATAACTAAGGGACTGATTTCAAAGATCTATAAATAGCTCACATGACTCAACAAAAACAAAGCAAAAAATCCATAGAAAAATAGGCAGAAGAGCTAAAAAGACACGTCTCCAAAGAGGAAATACAAATGGCCAACAGGTATATGAAAAATGTTCAACATAACTTGTAATCAGGGAAATGCAAATAAAAACCACAATGAGATATCACCTCACACTAGTGAGAATGTCACATATTAAAAGACAACAACAACAACAAGTGCTGGCAAGGATGTAGAGAGAAACGAACCCTCTTACACCTCTGGTGGGAATGCAAACTGGTCCAACCACTATGGAAAGCTATGTGGAGCTACCATATGACCCAGCAATTCCATGCCTAGGAATCTACCCAAAGGTCACAAAAACATTAATTTGAAAGGAAACCTGCACTCCTGTGTTTATTTCAGCACTATTTGCAATAGCTAAGATATGGAAACAAATTAAATGCCCAAAAACACATGACTGGATCAAAAACATGTGGTATATATACACAATGGAATACTATTCAGCAATCAAAAAAGATAAATTCATGCATTCACAGCAACATGGATGGAGCTAGAAGGGATTACACTCAGTGAAATGTCATGAGGAAAGAGTAAAATATTGGGTGGTTTCACTTATTGGAGGAACATAGGGAAACCAAACAAGGGATCAGTTAAAAAAACAAAAAAGACAAACTGTCAGGCAAACTATAAATCAGAAACATTCAGGTGGGGAGGGGAAGGGAGAGAGATCAAAACAGAGGAGGGAAGAACACAGGAGACTATGGTGAAAGTTCACGGTGTCTTGATGATGGAAATTTTATGGGGATTACACCTGAAAGCAGAATGAACAATGGTGTAAAAAATATATAAATTAAAAATTAAAAAAGAGTCCTGGGCCCTGGAATGGATCCCTTTTGTCTAACATTTGGGATCCTAAGATCAAAAAAGATGAGGTCTTGCTCCTGACCTAAGAATCACAATTGTCTAGATTTGATGCTATAAGAGAAGCTTCCGTTCTCCAAGTCTCATTTCTGGAGCAGCTTTTTTTGCAAGATCTATTAATTCTTGACAAATATTTAAAGTATCATGAAAGGATAAATTCCTCACAACCCACTGCCTCCATAGTGCCGGTTCGATACCCGGCCACCAGCCAGGGTCCCACATGGCCCGCAGACCTCTCCTGCCGCACCCGCTGCTCCCCTCAGCAGTGTATTTCGTCAGTCTGCCTGTTCTGTTCCCCACTCTGGCTCTGGTGAATTCTCTCACCCTTCTGTGCTTCTGACTGTACCCAGTGGTTGTATAAATAAATAAGTAAATCTTTAAAACATATATATTTATAAAAAGCAGTGAATCAGAAATGTATGCCTTTGGGGCTGGAGGAGTGTGAGCTGGGAAGAGATCAGTCCTTTTTGAGGTATCCAAATTAAGCTCCGCATCCCACCACCTCATTCAACCCTTCAGTTAGTCGGCAACACATTTATTCACCACTGACAATGTTCCCAGCATCTGGGTGGGCGCTGGGGCACTAGGTATCTTTGCACCGTCCCTAAAAATAGCCCTTTTCCCCTTTCTTTTTCTATCCCGTCAGTTTACTGGACATCAAGAGAAACTAAGTCAGAGTGGACATCAATTGTTTCAATAGAAAAAAAACAACCCTGAGGTAGAAGCCTCAGAGGGGATCTCCCTAAAGAGGCGGGGCGGGGGCGGGGGGACACCTAATTCTGCCATGTCTGGGCTGGTCACCTGCCTCCTCTGAGCCTCTGCTTCTCCCCGCTACAGTGTGAGGGTTGGGTTAAACTATCCCCAAGATCTCGTCCAGCCTTAAGTTTCTACTTTGCCAAGATCCTAAGGAGTCCTTCTCTGCACAGCACTGCGTACCCTAAGGAAGCACCATAGAGTGTGGTCATTACACACATGCACGCACACACATGTACACACACGCACGCACGCACGCACGCACGCACGCGCACGTCCCTGATCATGTGTTGAAAGTTCTCAGTGTCCCAGCTGTGCAAGTGCTAGATTTAGCGAGTTTTCTTTTTCTTCTTGGTAGGGTTTGTTTGTGCACTGCCTTATCAGAGCGCTGCAGTGTAGTAAGTTGCCTTTACAGAGCCTGGATAACAGGGGGGAATCTCCTGTACAGACATGTAAGTTCTGGTTTTGGTTGGGGAGAGGGTAAGCAACAGGAGATGACACCACCAGGCCCCAGATGTGAAGAACCTAAAATGTCTAAGGGAAAACATGTTTTCCTGGCAAGTGGCCATACTGGCTCCTTAGGGCTTTGTGGAGCATTCTGCCACCTCAGCCTAGACCTCGAGTTTTCCGGCAGGGTTGCCCCTGCTGTGGAGGCCAGGACTGAGCCCTGGCCGCTGTAGTTGTGGCGTCGGGAGCCTAGAGACCGGGCCCCATGCGCGGCCAACCTACGCAGGAGAGAGCTGCCCTCTAGCGACCAATATGGGACATGCAGCACGGCTCAAGCTTCGGACGAGAGCCCTGTGGCTGCAGATCCCCACAAATGCTAAAGTGGTGGCCGGTCCTTCGCAGGGAGTGCTTACGGTTGGGAAAGCCTGAGAATCTCGTCTGTGGGCTCTGCGACTATTTGTGGTTTCCCTCTAAAGTCTTGAGAGATAGCTACATAGATGGGTGGATAAACAATAGATTGCCTACTAGGTAATGACAGGTAACCCGAGAGATATTTAGAAAAACGTTTTTAGGGCTTGCTATTTTCCAGACACAAGGTTAGTGCGTTTGTCCATTATTTCATTTACTTGACTCTGAACCTCTCTGAAAGGCACGTTATCTCTGTCCCTATTTTCCAACTGGGAGAGCTCTGAGGTTTCAAACAAGGTAAGTAACTTGCCTCTGGGCAATCTTCAGCAGAGCTAGCAAGTCGCTTCAATCTTCACCATGGGCTTTAAGCCCTTTCCCAGCTGATGGAGGGCCAACTGCACGCCTCCAGCGTCCTGAGCACTGCGTCCGTCCTTAGTCACCCCCTGGCCACTACACCCTGGGCCAACGACATCACACCCCCCATCCTCCCTCACTGGTCAAACACCCCCAGGACATCCTGGCAAGTGCGCTTGAGACAGCGGGTTCCCGACGTGGAGGCCTGGGGAGCTGGGTAAAGGCTGATCCCCTTCCGCAGTGACAGAACAACACGCAGTCCCTGGAGGAGTGATGCTCCAGAAACTTTACCTTAGTCCATATTTGCCAGGGAGTTCACTAACGCAAAAGGAGATAGCTCTGTCCCGATGGGTTAAAGCCCTCGGAAAGCGTAAACCATTCATTCTTTAAGGGAACTAAGTGCCCACTACACTGTTAGCTGCTCCAGCAACGAATTCGGGATGCAGTAAGGGAGAGTTGTGGGAGGGGTGAGGAGTGAATAGGAGACAGTCCGGGCTTCTATATGGTACCCCGAGCAGGGGTACCCCGGGAGGAGAAAAGGGGCAGGTTCACCAGCTCGAAGAGTCTGCAGCACCTTCCAGAAATCCAAATTAGTCTATCTGCCCCTCCTAACGCCCCAACCTTGGCTCTCTCCCTGAAGCCAGCATCCCAGCGGACGCAATTTCGGTGACTTTACGCGGGGAACTGGGTCTCATCCCACTCTCACCAAATTTCCTAACTGCTTTGGTGTGTCACCCTGCCATGAGGTGAACCACGAAGCTCCCCGTCCCCGTTTTGCCCCCCCCCTTCCTTCTCGCCAGTGCTTGGGTCGGGACGGACCCCTCCCGCCAAGGCGTCGGCGAGGGGCTGGCGTATGCCCTGCGTCAGCTGCAGTCAGCCGGCGATTGGGGCGCGCTCGCCTACTTCGGTTTGGGGCTAATTATAAAGTAGCTCCAGCAGCCACCAGCCCCGGGACCGCACGGCGAGGCAGGCGTGCTCAGCCCCGCGGCCCTGCAGACTCGGAGGACCCAGACGGTAAGTGCGGCCAGCCGCGCCCGCCCTCGCCCCTGCGGATCCCCCCCGACGCCCGCTCCGCGCACACCTGCCTTGCTTTCCCTTCCAGTGTCGCGCCTGGGACGCGGTTTCACCGACCAGCCCGCGTCATCCCAGCGCAGTCAACGTGAGTGAACTTGCCCAAAGATCGCCTTTGTTTCGTGAGTGTGGGGTCTTTCGTCTGCCCTGTTTTGCTCGGTGTTTCATTGCATGGAATTCCCCAACTTTCGTCCGGCCACAGTCTGTCGCCGGGCCAATGTGGCACCTCTCCAGGCTCCCTCTCTCTCGAATTTGGTCTCGGGGGTTGCCTCCAGAATCCTAACCCAGTCAGCGGACTTTCAGAAAGAGAGTCGGGTGTCTAGGTCAGTCCCAGGCGCAGGCGACAGTGACAACTCGGGAGCCGCAATATTATCGCAGCCATTCCCCAACCACCCCCTACCCCCCGCCCAGTCTTCCGAAATGGCATGGACGAAACTCTTGCTGGGGCCGCCCGAGCAAGGGGTTCTTCTAAGGGACCCGCTCTGCACCTGAGCAGACTTGTAGCGCGTTTCCCTTTTCCACGCAGCCCATGGCGCGATTCCTGAGACTCTGCACTTGGCTGCTGGCTCTCGTCCCCGGGCTCCTGGCGACCGTGCAGGCAGAATGCAGCCAGGACTGCGCGACTTGCAGCTACCGCCTGGCGCGCCTGACAGACATCAACCCCCTGGTGAGTGTTACTCGTGGTGGGTGAGCCGGCAGCTGCGGCGCCCGCTGACAGCCAGAAGCCCGCCGCGCGGCGTATTTTGTGGTCACCATGACTCGGACCCCTTGCGACACAGCTGTCCCGACAGCTCCCCGAACACCGCCCGAGGTCCTGCTCTAGGTCTCAACTTGGGGGACCCGCGACTGTCTAGGGAAGGGAAGGGCTACATTGTCTCCATACAAACCAAGTTTAACGGCAAGGATGCGGGAGCCCAGATGTGCTCTCTTCAGCACCTCGGAGAGCACTGGACGTGGCCTCACCTGTACCGGGTTGATTAATTTCTCGGGACTCCAACCTATAACCTCTTACCAAGGGCCCCTTCCGCACAGAAGACTCCTTGCATCCTTGGCGCAAATAATGTCCTATTAGTGACATTTTGTCGCCTTTCTTGGAGTCCTGACTCTCGAGTGCTCACTCACCTGTGGATAAGAGAGAATAACCCACTGGGAAACAGTGAAGGGAAAGAGAGGAAGGGGGAAGCACAGTACACACCTGGGAATGAAGTAATCAGCAACTATCTTACTGGCCAGTGAGCTGGAAATCAACTTCTGTCTTGTCTTGAATGTACTTTTGTAAGACTTACCCAGACAGCAGTTGAATTTGGCTATACAAAAGTACAGGAGAGGGGACCAGTGTCAAAAGAGGAACCAATAATGCATAGATATAACACCACAAGAGAGCTGGGGGGGAGGGTGCTAAGCTGAAGACAAAAGAACTCTTTCTAATCATAGTGCTTGTGCTCTTGAATTGTTTCTGGTCCTCTGTTGAATCAGAATCTGAGTCCGGGATCCAAGAAGCTTCATTTTGACTAACTCCCCCAAGGATTCCTCTATATTTGTCCTCTTAATTTGTTGAAATTCTGGGATAACTTTAAGAACTCAGAGAATAATTTATTCATTTAAGGAGCTAAGTTCTTCACTGAAGCCTTTGAAGAAATTTGGTAAGTAGAGGCATAAAATGGGAACTAAAGTTTTAGCAAGGAGTCCCTAAAACCCAAGTCATATATTTCAAGTTAAGTGTTTGTTTCATTTCAATTAGCCTATCCACTTTATATGATATGTGCAGGTCCTAACATGGACTTTAAGAGAAGACACATAGCAGGGCTATATATTTAAACTATGATGGGAAAAATATTGCATCTTAAATATGGGTAACAATGACTTCATCTCTTTTCTGATTCACTTTGGGTTCTATTTAACTGATTTGTTTTATTTTTGGCTTACTTTTAAGGCTGTTATTTTCTCTGTAACAAAAAGGTTTTTTAACAACTACATTACTAGAATTACAACAGTTTGGAAATTTTAGCGCAGATGTAAAAAGATGAGAAATGAGGCTGCCTAACCGAAAATATGAAGTAAAATAAATGAAACAAATATTTATTGTTTCTACCATGCAAGAGACTCTTGTCCTTGGTTCTGTGTCAGTTGCAACGATAGGCAGACAAATCATGACTGATGTCCAAACTGAGTTTACCACCTAATATGATTTTGATCATAAAACACTCAGTGCAATAAATACTACAAACGATCCACAAACTGCTACAAGAACATATTACGCCACTTCTTTAACATGAATGTATTATTCTAAATATTTGTCATTATTTTGAAGGAATCTTAAAACATTAAAAAGCCATTTAGTCATAGCATATAAAATGTCCAACATCAATTTTGACTGATCATCTAAATTTTATTTTAGAATGGAAATATTATTAACACCTGGACATCTTAAGTTTTTAATGAATTCTGATTGTTTAATGAATATCAAGAATAAAACAGGACCATTTCAAGACAATCAGTTTTAGGCTTTCTTATATGTATATATTAATTTTTTAAAACTTAAGACATATTTATGAGTTATTTAAACATGTACCCTAAAGAAATGTGTTGCACTAATTAAATGTTTTCTTTAATTGTGAAAATAATGTGATTATTTCATTTAATATACCAACATATTTTTTAAGTACAAGGAAGGGTCTGGTTTACCTGTTCTTAATTAAAGGTTGGTAATCTGGGGATATAAAAAAAATGTTAGGAAATATTATTTGGATTTTATAAATGTTCATGTAATATTAGTACTCTTTTTATCATACCCAACTTATCCATTAAGTAGAAAAGAGTATAACAAGGTTACTATTCTATACAGTTTAATACTTATAATGATTAAAATCTAATTACTATATAATAAAATAAAGTTGTATACTATCCCTATTTTGTCAAATAATTTAACTTCCATTGGAAAATACTTTTTGTATATTGATAAATATTAAGAAAAGAAAAATGAATAATCTGAAGCTTTGCATATGTGTAATTTATATGACTTCATCAGTACAAACATTTGGTTCAAGATGATTAAACTTGTTTTAATCAATCAAGGGAGAAAAAGTGAAATATCTCTACTTCCAACAGTCAATGTGTCATAATCCAAATAATTTTAACAGAATTTAAACTGAAGTTTTAGAATGTCTTCTTTTTAAATTTATTTTGAAATTGTTGTTTTTCTCTCAAGATTTAAGGTATTAGCAGGAGTACTGAGTACTATTCTGGGTAAAATATCACCACAAGAAAGCAAACAAACCTTAATACCTTATATTATTAATATTGATTTTAGCTGCAAGTCAAGAAGATAAAAGGAATTTGAGACAATATTCCTAGTTAGATAAGGAGAAATGTTTTCCTGTTGTCTAGAAAAACCTCAAACAAAATGAAATCAGCCATGGAAAAATTATCAGTGAAATCAGATTGTGCAAACAGGCAATCTAGGTTAAAATTGGGTGGATGGAAAAAGCTTTCATCATATTGAAAAGGCACCATATATACAATTTGTTAAAATATAAAGAAAAATAAAAATTTCATTGCATTTTTTTTCTCCATCATTTTGCCTTTCAATTTCCATTTCATTTGCTTGTTCGGTATGACCAAAAGTTACATTAGGAAAATAGAGATGACCTTATTATAGAGGAGATTCCTTATCAGAGCCATTTGTGATGTACAAAAATGTGTCAATGTAGTGAAACCACACGTCTCTTTTTATCATTGAATCAAATTCTTTTCGCAGGCTTGCACCCTGGAATGTGAAGGGAAACTGCCTTCTCTCAAAACCTGGGAAGCCTGCAAAGAACTCCTGCAGCTGACCAAACTGGAGCTTCCTCAAGATGGCACCAGCGCCCTCAGGGAGAGCAGCAAGCAGGAGGAGAACCACCTACTCGCCAAAAAGTATGGGGGCTTCATGAAAAGGTATGGCGGCTTCATGAAGAAAATGGACGAGCTTTATCCTGTGGAGCCGGAAGATGAGGGAAATGGAGGAGAAATCATTGCCAAGAGATATGGGGGCTTCATGAAGAAGGATGCAGAGGAGGATGACACTCGGGGCAACTCCTCAGACCTGCTGAAAGAGCTTCTGGGAACCGGAGACAATCAAGACAGCAGCCACCACCAGGAGGGCAGTGAGGATGAAGAAGTGAACAAGAGATACGGGGGCTTCATGCGAAGCTTAAAGAGAAGCCCCCAACTGGAAGATGAAGCCAAAGAGCTGCAGAAACGATATGGGGGGTTCATGCGCAGGGTAGGTCGCCCAGAGTGGTGGATGGACTACCAGAAGAGGTACGGGGGCTTCCTGAAGCGCTTCGCTGATACTCTGCCCTCTGATGAAGAAGGTGAAGGTTACTCAAAAGAAGTTCCTGAAATGGAGAAAAGATATGGAGGGTTTATGAGATTTTAATACCTTCACCCATCGGTGACGCCACGCCCCAGCAACTGTTCCTCTAACCCCCAGTGAGAGACTGCTTTGTAGGTTGTGTTTTCTTGTCATGTGTTGCTTGCATTGTATAATTGATTTTATTGTCTAGATAACTAACTATACAACCTGAAAGTATCATTTCAGGTTCCATGTTCTTTTGAGAGTCTTAAACTCGGTATTGGTCTAGTGCCATTAACTTGTTTTCAGGCTAAGATATTTTTTGTTCACGAGTTCTTTCTTTTTGACAACACATCGATAAAAATGCTTACTTGTACATAGATATAATAAATCCTCTTCCCCAACTGCATAACATTCTTGCAAGTCTCTTCTTCTCCAAGGCCGTCAATTTGCCTTTTGGTTTCCACAGCAAATCCTAAACTCAGACTCAGAGAAAGCATGTCCTTTTAACAGTTCATCACTGGCCACATTCCCTTCCCTAAACTGAGGCTACAGAAATATTTTTAATTTAATTCCCCATCTAGGAAGTTATAGAGAATAAAAACATGGCAATGAAATAAAATTTATTTCCATCCCAATTTCTAGGTATCAGATAACCTGAACCAAAACCAAAACCTAATAAAAACACTATTCTCTGACATATAAGGAAATTTGCATTTACATCCAGGTGTGTGTGTCACTTTTCTTCAGCATCATATTTTAGAAGTTGATGAGACATTAAAGTTAATTCAAAAAAAAAAGATAATTCAGTTCCATTTTACAAATAAAGGAAGTAAGGCCAAGTAAAGTCAGTAGCTGGTCCAAGATTGCCTAGCAGTTGAAAGACAAAAATAGAATGAAGCCTCCAAACTACTTGTTTCCTAGCAATGCTCTATCCACTAGCGATGCTCTTACCATTGTACACACGTCTATAGTGGGTTCTCCGATATCTGATGTATGATGGCATAAAAGAATGAAGGGATAAATTTAGTGACCAGTTCACAGGAAAGGTATTATGAATGTTTTGTGAGGCAAATTCTCATGACACAAGGAGATTTATGACAACTTCATATTATTAAGCCATTTGAGACAACATCCAGGTACAAAAGAGTCACATTTCTTCATTTTTCTAATTGCAACTACCTACAGCTACCTCATCAACTAAGTCATTTTTGCAAGACCTTACTGACCCACTCCTTTTTTCTCTTCAGAAGGAAAATGGAGAAAGAGTCTCTTTCCTGCAGCCCACCACTGTCTAAGCCTAGGAGCTCCGTTCTGTCTAAGCCCAGGCAACTCCACAGGCATGGGCAGTCCATCCTTCTGGGTCCAGCCCTACCAGGTTCCCAGGAAGTGCACGTGGACAGGTACTATTAGAAGACGCGTCTCCTGCTGGTTGGGGGTGGTCCTCGCCATTCACATAGTGCTCCCTGATCCTTGGCAAACTATTTTTCTGGGCAAAGGAAGCCCATCTTTTAAACGAAGGGTACAAGTAATGTAAGTGTTTGAAGCAGATCAGAAAAAAGGTGATAAGCAGCAACTGGGTCCTGGAAATCTGTGTCAAGAGCAGTGAGGATTGATGGGGCTATCATACACTGGAGATAGTAGGTCTCCAGTTAGCCTTAACTAATTGTTTTCCTTGGAATTGCCAGTCCAGTATTGTCAGACTTTTCCAAAGAAATCTGAAACCAAAATTTCCATGATAATAACCCAAGTTTTTAATCTTGGCCATTAATTCTGTTTTAAACAGTGTGGAACAAACAACATCTGCAGATAGCATTTAAGAGACATGGGGTAAGTTGTTTGGGGAAAAAAAGAGAAGAGGCTTTTTAATTCTCTCCATAGAGCAAAGGATTCCCAAAGCAGGGATCCAGCCTACATCCTGGAGATGGTAAAAATAAAATAGACATTTTCCTTCCTAATAAGCTGACACAATTATTATCCTGTAATAATACAATATGATATATATGCATGTCATGCAATATGTTTGAGAAAACTATGCAATTTCACAATGCCACGCATTACTTTTCAAACGAAGCATAGCTATTATGTAGGAGCCCTTTCTATTTTGGGGTAACAGTGCAGACAGGGCTAAAACATTTGGGTGGTTGCAGACAATTTCTGCCCCTCTTTTTCACCATGTGTCACCTCTGATGAGGAGGTTATAGTCTTCTGTTAAAGCCCAGCCCACAGGATGTCCAGAGTGAGACAGTGTCACTCACTTTTGCATTTTCTCACAGCCATCACACCGGGGTCGCCAGTTGAGATCCTGAAGAATGTGTTTAGGGAGCGAAGGAACAGAGGAGAGGGACAGGGATACAGGGAAAGGGAAAATGACATGGCACAAGATGGCTCCTTCTCCTAGAGGGTTGTGAGACTGCCTGCTGCTTCTCAGGACATCAGATGAAGCACAATACCCAGACAAGGCTGACCTTAATAGTAAGTGTGGGCTGGGCAGTTGTCCACAAAATGACTCCAGCTGTAAAGATCTCCCTTTGTCTCCAAACACCTCCCATGCTGACCAGCATTTAGTCTAAAACTCCATCATAAGATTTTTTTTTTTGCCCCTGACTCTTAAAGGTTTTGATTTTTAAGACTTTCCTGTTTAAGTTCTGAAGGGCATTTGACTCGGAGTCATCTGGGAAGCTATTTTAAACAGAGATAACTGGGCTCTGGCTGTGGAACTCTGACTGTCAGAAGCATGCACCCAACATAGGTGTTCTGAGAACCAGAGAAACAGGAAGAACTTGAGTTAAAATAAACTAAGGACTAGAATTTAGGTTTACATGGACTGGGGTCTAGAGTAAGATGAACTCACAGCCACTGCAGATTCAAGAAGGTGAGAGAAAGCTGTGTGTAGGGAATAGAATAAGACTCAAGCTAACTGCAGAGGGCACTGCTGCTCCATCCCTTCCATTCTTAGTACCAGACTCCCTCTTGGTCCCATTCCACTGACTTAGGCCTCCCCCAGTCTGACTTCTTGGCCAAAGTCCTGGTCTGGTTTCCTTCTAAGGCCATGTTGATAATGCATATATTCTGGGGTCAGGCTACCTGTATAAAACCCCAATTTAGCTATGATCTGAAACTATTGCTGCAATGTACCTCATCTGTGCCTCACTGGGGTGAGGTAATAACATATACAACAAGCTCAACATACACGACATACACAACAAGCTCAAGCGCAGGCCCATACTATCAGCACTTATAGGGTTAGCCACTTAAAATTCTGAGCCACTATTGCTCAGAATCCAGCTCTTACAGTTGGGTCTTGGGTTTTCCCCACCCCAACCTGCCTCACCCTGAGCCTCTCAAGGACCAGATATTACCTCTTCTGTAGGTTTTCAGGGATGAAATACTTACTGTCTGGAAGCTTCTGTCCTGAGCAGAACCTAAGAGGCCCCTGAGAGAAGGTTTCCTTTTCTGAGGGTTGTGTATCACGATGCAGAAACTATTTGTCAAGTCTCTTAATACTCATCTTCACTTTCTCCATTTCTACTGTAAATGGGTCAGGGCTATATAATAAAAAAGCTATTGAAAAATAAAAGGCATGAATAATCTGCACCTTAAGCCACAAAGTTTCTTCGTAGAGGTAGAGAAAGGGGTATAGTTTTAAATACTTTGAATATTTATGGGGCATTTTCCTTGAAATGTATATAAACAACCTTCATGAATTAGTTCATTTATTCAACAAATGGTGGAGAAGGTCATGTGAGTACCTGGTGAAGAATATTAAAGACTGGGAACGGTGAGTTCAGCACCCTAAATTGGGAGCATATGAGCAACTACCAGGAGACTTAGGCAACCTTGTGGAGGTGGTAGAAAATGAAGTTTGAGTTTTATTTTAAATGAGACAGAAAGTGATTTGAGGTTGAGAGAAGGCAAGTGACAAAATAAGCTGACAAGTTTGAACCTCACTGCTTTGTTTTCATATAGAGCAAGTTTCCGAACTCCTCATTCTCCTGAGGGAAAAATTTATCTGTCATCATTTTGTCAGCGAAGCTCTTGATTTACCTGGGGAGAATATAGTTATATAAAACTCTCCGGGTTTTAAAATAAAAATGCAATGAACAAGTCTACTTTATTAATTCCTACAGCAACAATCAGAACTTACAATGCTCACTCACAGCTTGAAAAATGAAAAACAAAGAAACAAAAAATGTATTCATATTATTGACTTGTCCCTTCAGAGACCGAAGGTGGTAATAGGTTCAATATGACCATCAACATCATGTACCTCTACGTTTTTTCTTAGATTTTTTAATCAAGCAAAACTAGCTACACAGAAGCCCACATATCTTAAACGCACATCTCACTGAATTGCTTTGAAGCAAACATAACCCATGAGCCACCAGACAGGGCAAGAAATAAAACATCACCAGGATTTCAGAAGCATCACTAACACTCCTGCATATAACTAACCCTTCCTTCTCAAGGCAGTCACCCTCTTGACTTCTACAACCATAGTTGAATTTACCTGTTTTAAATTTTCTATAAAGGGAAAACATACTTTTTTTTTCTATTTTACTATGTAACTCAACATTACATTCATGTGGTGTACCTATGCTGTTGTGTATTACTGTAGTCAACTATTTGTGTTGCTCCATAGTCTTCTATTGTGTGGAAAATACTTCAAGTTCCATTGTTTTATTGACAGAACCTCAGATTATTTCCAGTTCGAGGCTATTGCAAATACCACTACTGTAAACATTCTTGGCCCTGTCTCTTAGCACTTAAGATCTATATACACCCTTAGAGTTCATGGATATGAACTAGGAGTGGATTTTTCAGATCATAATCATAGATTATGTATAAGTTCAACCGTGGTTCATTATGCCACAGTTTAAAAGAGCTTAAACTCTTTTAAAGAGTTTACAATTTGGATTCCTAACTATGCTTCATATTGTCAGTCCTTTAAAATTCTTTCCATGCTCTTTTCACTACGTTTCTGAATTTCTAAAAAGATAAAGCATAATTTTATATTCTTTTTTGACGATGTGTACATTCTCCCTTACACTTTTGCTTTAAAATATATTTTACAAGTTATATGTATGAACTATTTTCTGCTCTGTAGTGAGTGAACTTATACCATGAAACAAATACATGAGGTCTTTTTTTTAAATTATAAAATACTATCAGGAGTCTGAATACATTCTGTACAATACACCTGATACAATCTGTACAAAATTGTGCATAACCTTGATCATAGATTGACTTCTTGAAAATGCTAATGAAATACTAGATATGCATTATGCCATCCCAGCCAAGTTCTTTTATATGTAGAACATCTGGGGCCAGTATTAGATACAGCATGCCTCTCCAAACTTGCAGGCTCCTTGAGATTAGTGGAACTGGGAAGGTTCTCGCTGGACTGTTCTCAA